CCTCTATAAACCCATCAAAGAGCAAGGAGAGGGACAGACTTATGGGAAAGAGGAGGGAGTTCCTTCCCTGAAAATGAGATAAAAGAAAATGCTGAAAGGCAGCACAATGGGTCAGCTTTATCACAGAGTAATCCCATCTTCCTGAATCAACCTCTGCCTGGGGGAGTGAAAAGACAAAGGGAAACAATTCCTAAAAACTTACTGAAGAGACAAATACATTTGTTATCCTGTGTGTGCTTTTCACCTTTGAGATTATGAATACCTCTGCTCGGTTTCAGCACTAACACTGCTGTCTCGGGGTCCCATGCTTGCAGGAACACACGTAGAAATGGAACAGCAGCAAACTTTAGCCCCTTAAGATTAGTCTCCATCAGAGAAAAGAGAGGGACTCCTCTAGAAAAGAAGCCAGAGCGAGAATTGAACGTAAGCAAGTCAAACTCCTTGGCAGTTTAAAGCTTTTACGTTACTACTGCTTTTTTGGTGCCATATTTGGAATAAGCAATTGTAGAATTGTTCCCCACTTTACTACGCATGGGAGCACTTCTTTTTTTTTCTACTCCACAGACGATGTTTTCCTCGTTTTGTGGTCACAACATCCCTTCAAGCCGCTCACTCTGAAGTGCCTTGTATTCTGGAAGACACAGTACTGACAGGAACAACCACAACATGGCATCGTATTTTTCAGAATTTGTAGCAACACCTACCAAATACAGCTCCTACTGCTACACTCAGCCACCACAGTGAAAGACTGTAAGGCAGATACCACCTTCAGCAACACATCCTCTTTGCGTTTTATGGGTTTCACCTACAAACTTGGCATTCCTAGAAAATGCAGCATATGAATAATTCAGCATAGGTAATGATGACATTTTAAGAAGGCAGGATGGGGCCACACAACCTGAGTTGGTTTAGTTCACCAGGACCAACTCAAGTCCATTTTCTTCACAACTGAGAGAAGCGTGGCCTCATGCAGCAGCAATATCTGCTCCACTTAATGCAAAACAGCACTTATTTATGCAGCTCAAAAGCCTGACAAGCTCAGAGGCAGAACAGTCTTTGTTTATTTGTGAGACTCTCACCTCCCCCATCCACGAAGGCTAAGAAACATCACATTTTTATGGCTCATCCTACCACACACAGATGTATCAACAGGGTTTACCTGCCCTAAGGGGGATCCAAGCAAAGCAATTGTCATAACTCATCTCTCTCCACAGGGAAAATGCCAGCGGCTGCAGAACATCCATTCTGCATCTTAAAGCGCTAGAGAATTAAACAGTCACAATTTACTCTGAAGCACCTGCCTCTATGGAGATTAAGCAGAAAACAATTCCATGCAGATCTCTAACCCAGGGTGGTGGTGGGGATGTGGACCTTGCAGCTCAGAAGCTATCCAGCAATAAAGTCTTTGGATGTGTACAGGGGAACTAAACACAAATGTCACTCGCACTTGATCACATCTGCTTCCCCACCGCCATGGTAATACCACTGAGAAGCCATTAAATAAAGCCAGCTCAGACAAAATGCAGAGGTTCTGGCAGCACTGTTCAAAAAAAGCTAAATCTAAAAAGAGATTCTCCCTTTTTATTGTTTTTGCTTTAAATAATTTGGCATTAACAAAGGCTTGAGAAGAAGTAGCATCACATTCTGGATGCTGAGGTCCTGGGATGAGCGTGTCTGAAAGAGAGCAGGCACTTCTAATTAAAGATACACAGAAAAGGCAACAACCTAAGTTACAAATAAAACCACCAATGCATATGCTTTTCATTTAAGCACCAACAAGTAAATATATATATGGATGTTATCATTCTTACCAGGGAACACGAAGTTCAAAGCAGAGAGCTCAAGCAGACAGAAAGGCAGGTGTCATTACATGAAACTGAACAGAAGCAAAACCATTCCATTCCAAGCCTTTCTGCCACAGGATTTGGAGGCTTTACAGACATAATATTTTGGAAAAGATATTGTTCCAATCCCAAAGCAAAATGTAAATGAAATGCGGCTAACACCTTTTTCTGAATTTTCATGTGTGCCACATCAGTTGGTCTTTTTGTCCCTCCTGCAGCACTCCAAACCAAACATCTCTCTATTTTACTGAAATCCTCTTCAAAAAAAAAAAAAAAAAAAAAAAAAAAAAGACAGAACAATCCAACACATCCCCTTTATTCATCTAAAAAACATGGAAAAAAGTCATAGGGAAAGTTTTAGCAATAAAAAAGGGATCCTGATTAAAAATCTATAGAACTTGTCGAGCAACATAAACTGATTTCTTTGGGTTAGAGATGATGACCCCATACAAAACCCCAAATTCAGAACACTCACAGTGCAGGAGAGTCTGGCTACAGACCATTTTTCTACTTTACGTTAAACTTCCCTTAGATTCACGTATCCCACTGCTACCACCTTCAACATAAGTAGAATACGTAGCCCTCACAGTAATATTTTCCTTAAATGGTAATGGATATGTTTTAGCTTTCAGGCAGAAAACCACTCTGGGCCATGTTAGAAAGAACTCTAGGGTCACAGAGACTCATGGCTGACTCTTTAGAGCAAACTTAGAGCAGACTGCACAGCAGTTACACAAGCAATTAAGAAAAAATCCCTTATTTGGCATTTCTCTATCAATATCTCTTGGGCCTGTGACAGTCATTCACCGTTAAGCAGATATAACATACGCCAATGGGTTCTGCTTGGCTGAGATGAAGACTTTCATGCTCCTGAATATAAAGCAATGAACAGTGTTTCCAGCTGTCCCTGAAAGGCCTCATCCTCTTCCCATCACAAAACTTGGCTCTTCAGCATCATCTTCCTTCTCTTCCTCCTCCTTGCTATCCTCTTCATCATCCTCACTGCTGACTTGCTCTTGAGATTGATCAGGTTCTAAAGACATAAGCAGTATGAATCAATAACATATTCCTGTGTGTCTCCCTTGTTAAGTATTTCACAACAAAACGGTCTCAGGTGCTAAGCAAATGTGTATCAGGTCACACTAATTAGTACAGACGGATAACATATTCCCATGAGTCCTTCTTGTTAAATCTCTCACAACAAAGTAGTCCCAGATACTAAGGAAACACGTATCAGGTTATATTAATTCTACCGAGCAATGTAGAGCTCAGAATATCAAATTTTTCCCTTGGAGAAATATTCCCTTACCTCCAACGTCACCACTGTGCCAAGTCTGTCATTAATCAACTCTGCCTCCTACTGAACATTATTTCAAACATGGGCACTCAAACGCTCAAGTGACAAGATTAACTCATTCCCAATATCACCACTGCATGTCGGCATGAATTTTCAAGTATCACAGAGTACTGTTAAAGAATGCAGGCACTGGGAAGCCACGGGCAAGGCTCAGTATATTTCTACGCCTATTCAGGTTCACAGAAACTCCACATGGTCCCATCAACTTTTACAGACTGTTTAGTACACTGCCAGTAGAGGAACTTGTTAAGATATGTGTAAGATTAACGAGGGTCGTAGAAAACTAGTGAAGCCTGCTAAAAGACCAGAAAACACCTACTAGAAATTAAAGAATGGACAATGAAAATTAGGTATGGCACACCTAAATCTAACAGCCATTCTTCTGCTCCCAGTAGCTCTTGTACCTTTACAGTTTCTCAGGCCAAGTGACACTCGGCTCATGTTCTGTCCAGTTACATGGAATATTTAGGATTAGTGGTCTGATGCCACCGTGTGGTGAAGTTCTGCACTTTCATTTTTTATTAGGGGTCTGTACAATAATGCGACTTAACAGTTGACCTTATTTAGCACCAACCTTTATTCTTAATGATTTTACTACAACAAAGGTGAAAGATGGCAACACAGAGGTGTTATTTATTCGTTCAAAAAGGAAGCTAAATGCTTGCCTGCCACATCCAACAAAGATGCTTCAATTAATTTGGAAAAAACTTTCATATCTCAACCCAGGGCACACAAAACTAGAAAAAGACAAGCCTGTTCTCAGTAGATCAAAGATGGCTATCAGTGGCTTCTCCACTGATTTTATTTATTTACACTTTTTAAAAAATAGAGAACCACAAACTGTAAAGAGCTAGAAACTGTTCTAAAGACAGTGGAGTTTGGATTCTGGCTTCCAGAAGATGACTCAGTTGTGCTGAACAAAAACACTCCAGCCCTACAATCTGTACCTGGAAGTCCCACACCACAGTGCCAAACTCTGATCCCACTCCCCTCTCTCCCAGCCACTCCCTAAAGGGATGGGTATTCTGTTTTGTTCACTCAAAGTGAACAAAAGTATGCTGACTCATACTTAAATTATCCTCCCAGTCACAATTCATGAACAAGTAGCTTTAAAAAAAACAGAACCAAAACAAAACACCAAAAAAATCCACTCTGCTACAGTCACTTGCTGTCACAAGTAAAATGAACCTAACGAATAATTTGTCCTCCCATGTTTATATGGGAGGCTGGCAACAGTTCAGCTGAAACACATCCAATTCTGAAAAGCGAAGCAGAAATAAGGTGGACCTGTCAGGCAAGTCACTGTTCTAGCAGAATTATCAGAAACTATTGTAACTTTAAGACTAAGAATTACTGCAGACTTAGTGTGCTAATCCACAAAGGACAACTATTTGAAAGAGTAAACTAGAATATACTCACTGAAAGAAAACAACAAGTACTCAGAAGTTTGAGCAAACAGTTACAATGACATTGCTGAACATTAATTTTCAAGACTGCAGGAGAACAAAGGCAGTCAGTTTTTTCATGTTTATTTCTATGCAAAATAAAATAAGTCGTGTGGAACGGATGGCACCAAGGTGGCTCGATTTCTTACACACAAAATCATAACTCAGTTTCTTGCTGTCCAAGCTGTGCAATTTTTCCACGTTTTCCCATACGCATTCAAAATATACTTAAAAAAAGAACAGCCTTTAACAATACTGCCTCTTCTAGCAGAGGATGTTCTAAATCTGCAGCTTGTCAGAACAGCTGGGGCAAAACATCCACAATCAACAAACTCAGACTGCAATGTCTGCTGTCCAAAATTTCCCCTAATAAAGGGAAAATATTCACAAACAGCCAAGTTATTTGTAAGACTAAATCTCAACATAGATGGCTTTCAAAGAGGACTTTTCAAACATTAGCTAAAATAACAAGCTTAAGGCTCAGTCTTCCTATCCGTGTATCGAGAATGCTTGGGGCAGGAGGTGGAACAAACCCTTCTAGGCTTCAATTAGGGAACAGAACTAAGTCCTGAGAAAAGAAAATTACATTTCACTGACCTTTTTCCTGCTTCTTTTGTTCAAGTTTATTTTTCTTAGCTTGCAGTTTCTTCTCTTTCAACTTCTGGCTATAAAGCAAAGGAAAAAAAGACTCTTTTGCAAATCCAGCATTGTAAAGCTTCTGCACATTCATACACTGATACAGGACATATTACAGACATTGTGGAAAAGAAGACTTCAGAAGAGAAGTTCAATTTAAATTGGGCCTCAACCGAAAAGTCGTTGAGAGCAAGCTTAGACACATGATCAACAGAAACTTTTCTGTGTTGTTTCTAGCATAATGGAATTAAAAAAAAAAATCTTCCACAACACCACTGCAACCAAAACTATGAGATATGCAACAATCTCCAAGAACACAGAAGGAACAAAAATGAAACTGCTTCTACATTTCAGCTACCTAGCCTAATAAACAAAACCAGAAAATGGTGTCAACAACCAGACTGCTGGAACTGAACACTGGGGGGGGGAAAAAAAGTAATTACCAGTAATATACATTAAAAAAAAAAAAGCAGTATGCTTTGACCTTCATCTTTGGCTGTACTTCATCAATATGTTGGGCCCCAGGAGTAACATTAGGGGTACGAGGGAATTTCAGTTCATACGACCTAGCTGTTTGCCCAGCAAAGGCAGAGACAGGGCAGAGCAATCAGGGATTCATGTTCCTCTCAGCACCATAAATGAGTTCTGTTGAAACAGAGAGACAAGTACTGTACCTGTTAACTCAGAAGAGAAAGGGTGGGAAGGGAAGTTAGAGGGGCTCCTACAGGGCAAAGCTGCTTGGGATCTACACCATCAGACTACCCTACAGAGGAAGGGGGAGAAGGAGGCGTTGGAGTGTTCAGGCAGCGTTTGCTGCTGTTGCTGTTGTTCTCCATCTCAGCTGGGAAAAAGGCAGCAGGCCAGATCTGACTTGCTGACCATCTGTTGGGCCACACTAAATTAAAGCAAGATGGCAATGGTGTTTGTGTTGTGCACTTTTGTGCCCATATGCCAGCGAGTCACTTTGCGCACACCTTTCAGCAACAGCTCTCTGCTACAAGATGTAAAACCCTCATTCTCAAACCAGCAAGAGAAAGGCTGCTCAGGGTCACGCTCTGAAAGAGCTGACGCTACCTCGCTATTTCTGAAATGTATGGTGGACACAGACTGTGGCATTTAAATTCTTGTATCATGGCATTACAATTCTCATACCATTTTTTGAGAGCATCAATCTTATAACTGTTCACTTTGTCTACCTAAGAGAAGGAAAGGTTTCATATTTCTTATTTTTTCAGTCTAATTTAGTAGACTTGACCTGTCTGAGATCACACTGAGGTAGGCAGAAGCAGCTACTGATTTTAGCAATACTGAACCCACCAGTGTCCTCTTCAGTATTCACAGATGAACTGGACTAGTCACACTGGCAGTGTATGGAGGAGAGCATAGTGCCCCATCACACTCTGCTAGTCTGAATCCATACGCACACCCATTAAGCAGCACCCATTTTTGCACTTAGGCTGCTTGGTGTCAGCTGTTTCAGATATTTAAGCCAGATGTACATACAAATCTTTCCTGACATTGTTATAACAAATACGCAGCAAGACATGTTGCAGTGAACACCACCATGTCAGCAAAAGCTGCTCAACCAGTCAAAAGTTATCCGGCTAGCGATGGCACAGAAAATAAACCATGCCAGCAAAGCCTGTCTGACATTAAAGAAATTAATTTCCACAGATTTCTGAGCTGACAGATGTAGACACAGAATGACAGCACTTATCCAAAGCGTGCAGCGACAGATGAGGCACAGGGTATGAGGGTTTCCATGTCAAGCCTCCTGGGAACAATCTGCCCTTACCGCTTCCTTCTGCGTTTTGCTGTTTGTTCTTCTGCAATCATCTTATTCCTCTCCAGTTTCTTCTGGAATTCCTCATCTAGTCTTTGCTGTAATTGATCACATGTTACACTTTGGTCACAATCTAAAGTAAAATACTTCTTTTCAAAGTCATGTCCTTTTAGGGAGAAGTCTTTTAGCAAAATACAGAAGGGAGCTTTGCCAGATTTTGTCTGGCTTCCACTTTATACAAGAGCCATATTCCTAGGGATAACTTCTGTATAGACAGAATTTTAACCTGAAGCCTGAGCCAAACACTGAAGCCTATAGAGGGAGGAATCCTCACCAGAACAGATGAGGCAGGTTGGGCTTCTGCAGTAAAGAATGATTCAGTAAAAACAGGAGTATAATTTGAGACACAAACATTAACACGCACATCAAAGGACTCATCTTGGCCGAGAGCAAACAATAATGGTCTCTGAAAGAGGTGTTATTCTACTCAACCAAGACTTAAAACAGAGAGAAGGAAGGGGGGGCTGGCCACTTGGGAAG